ATTTTATAAATTTATAAATATTTAAAATAAAAATATATTTATACTATAAATCTATTTATAAATTGCTTTAAGAAGACTGAATATTCAACAAAGACTACCTGAAGAATATTTTCTATTTTAAAAGACAAGTCTTGATCTGCTCTCATCCTGATGACAGAGGAAATTGACTTAATTATTTAAATTAGCATTGTTATTTAGAAACATACTGTATTTATCACTTACATGGTTCACCCGTGAGCACTTTTATGCAATGCTTTGCACTTAAAAGGACAAATTTGAAGGAAGAGATTGATCTCTTGGGTGGGAAGAAGGGGATGCTGGAGGTGCAAGTTAGGCACGTGCTCCTCCAACAGCAAAATATCAGTTTTCCAGCCCTTTTTAGCCCGTCACTGGAGACTTCCAGGGTAGAAAGGGTATTTCAGGGTTTCTACCCACCCATAGACCTTCCTGCAGCTTCGGCTCATCCCCTCCAAGAGAAAAGGACGGCACACGAAGAAGTGCCCCTTCCCTGCACCGTCGGCTTTTCCCCTTTGCTGTAGGAATTATTTCTTTGTTACTTAATCATCTGTAATTATCTCCTGGAGTAAATTCTGTTGGTGCATCAATTTTCAAACACAACAGTCATTTTTATCAGTCATGTTTATTTAATTTTAGCTGATTAGCACAGAACCTAACAAGTGGCTTAGACTAACAGTGTGTCACTGCCCAAGTATTTTGTAGGTAACAAGAAGACATGGAATAGCGCACATGTTGCTTTGTCTGCATTAATCTATTTACATTGTAATTCTTCAACTGTTTTTAATGGCTGGTTCAGCTGGAAGCGATTAGTTGTCCAAATTAAAGCCACATTTCTCACTTTGTGCACGGGGGAAGGTTTTTAGCTGTTGTCTTTTCCCTGCTTTTTGTTTTCCAAATCAAGAAGGATACCATTTGAAAACGCATGAAGTCTCAGGGAGGGGATGGATCTGGGTGTTTGGAGCCGTGTTCCCACATCTTCATCACAAAGCCAAACACTTGGACGGGCCACAAAACGGTGTGTTTGAAGTTAAACTCCATCGTGGGGCTGTGCAGGAGCCCAACCAGCATCCAGGCTCCAGAGGGGAAAAACCTCGGGGCTGCTCAGAAAGGAGGGAAGCGAGGAGAAGAGAAAGAGCTGCCGACACCACTCAGGAGTTTCTGGGCAGTTCTGCACAGGCAGTAGCCACTTGTTTATAGATGGGTTAAATTAACAAATAACATTTGTGTTATGCGCAAGGTAATTTGTACAGAACTTCGGAGCAGAGTGTCAGCACACGTTGGATCTCACCTTTTTTTTTAACAGGAAAAAAAACAAGTGCCATCTGCAAAGCAGCCATGAAACACTTGGCGTCGGGCTGGCCTTTCTCCAGGACTTGCACCTGAGCAGCACGATGGTGTTCGCTACGTCTCCTCTCGTCTCCCTGGCTGAAGATTTTTCTGGTCAGGCCCAAAGACCATGCTCTTCTGCCAACACTACAGCCAGACACAAGGCACCAAGTCTCGCAAGGTCTTTTCAACTCAGCTGGGAAAACTCAGAGGGCACCTGTAGCTGTGGGATACCACAGCTGAACATCTCCCATGAGGTTTGGACCCTCCATGCAAGGGGAGGATAGATCGCTTCCCATCCCAGCATCTCTGCTGGGAATTATTTCTCTGTAGAAGATCAATGTGGTGGCCATGCCCACATTCATTCACAGCAGCAGTAGTGCTGCACCTTCTTGCTACACAACTCTGGGAGTTTAGATGAGCTTTTGCCTAATAGGAGCCGATGGGAGACTTCCACCTGGCCTCAATCCATGACTGCCCAAGACAACCTTCAGCCAGAACTGCATCCTCCTGATGGCACAGCCACCATCTCTCTTGGTAAGCATCAGGTGGGACCTGTTGGCTTGGTCCTTTGCCAGAGCGACAGGTCAGTGCTGCAAGGTGGGGTCTACCTTGAGGGAAGGGATGACATTAACTCTGCAAAAGCTAACACTGCTGAACAGACTCCCAGGTCCCGTGGGAGATGTGGGGTGAGGAGATGAAGATCTGGCTGAAGACACAGCATGAGCTGAGCGTCCCTGTTTGGCTGCAGTGAACTACATGGAGTCACCTCCACTGGGACTGCCTGGTACATATGAGGTGTGCTTATCACAGAGAATTTGAGAATTTTTCCTTAAAAAGTACTATTTAATACCATATTTCTTAATAATAATAATTAAAAAATGCTATCGATGTACGTATGCAAGGAAAGAAAAGCCTCACTGTGCCCTACATCGACTTCAGAACATCCCATGAGGTGGCACCCAGGGCACCAGCAGGGGAAGGTGCCAGCAGGAGAAGGAACCCCCCAGGGAAAAAAAGGTTTTGAATCGCCATCTCCCATGGCAGTGCCTGCAAGGGCTCTGGACGGGTTTCAGTAAGGGTGTCCTTGAACTCGACACATTTTCTTTTCAACCAAAAAAAAAAAAATAAAATTCACATGTGGCATAGTCCAAACCGAGCCTTCACATCAGTCAATATTCAAACCAAATAAATCAAGCGTTTGCACAGATTTACTCCCTGGTTGTGAAAAAAGGGAAGGTTAGTGTGCCGTTTGCTCCTCTTCCTCCCCTCTTTCCACCCGCCCCCAAATCCAAAGATAACCGCCCCAAATCAAGACTTTTCTGCCTTCGTCAGTTTGTCACAACCTGAAAGTCCCTCAAAAATATCTGTGTGTGTTTCATTACCCTATCTGTCCCATCTGTGCCTCATTACATGCTCCAGCTGAAGGGTGCACGGAGTCGGGTTGCGACCAGGCAAAGGTCAGAGGAACCTCCAGCCTGCGTTTTGCCATCGCTTGATTATTCGGAGAACAACCACCCATCCAAAAGGCTGAGGACTTCTCCGTGGCTACAGGCAGGACCCACCTCACTGTAGCAAAAGAAAAGAAGAGAGCTAACTCCTCCTGGCTACCCTGAACCTCTGAAAAATAACGAAAGCAAGCAGATGGTAGCCCTTACAGCGCGGTGCTCTGATGCAGAGCTGGTAGTAGCCTTCTTGCTCCACCACGTCTTGCTTTTAATATACTGCCCGGCATTAATCAAGCAGTTTAGAAGCATCCTATATCAGTCCTGCAAAACAGAGCTTCAATGATTTACTGTCAGATTCTTTCAGCTCCTGTTAGACTCCTGTTTTTCTTTCATGTGGGTAGCAGAGGTCAGCAGCGGCAGGAGATGCAATGCTTTCACTTTGTCTCACATTTGCTGCTGTCATTCCCATCCCGCTCCGGTCCCTGCAGAGCCACAGGATGTGTTCATGCTCACAGCCCTAGATGCTAATTGATTTTAGGGAGCCCATTCATCAGTTAAATTTAGTAGATCACCCACCAGGTTTGCTGTTCACTGTCAAAGGTAATTCAATTAAAACTCCAGGAGTGTGACTAACTGTCGGAGGGTAAATATGTTTAGCAGCTGCCGTGGCTGTATCTTCTCCATCCTATTGTGTCTGTGAGCCAGCCCCAGCGTAGCATGTGTCCGAGCCACATACCTTGGCTGATTAATGTATACAACAGTTCCATAGCAGTGCCAAAAATTAAGTCCAAATGCCTTCTTGGGTATGCAATGACATGCAAATGTCTAAATGTAATAGCTTCAAGTAAAAAAAAAAAAGCCTCAAAAGTGTTGAAAGGCAGCAGTGGCTACGAGGGTTGGATTAACTCCCTGCATCTCTAGGGTTTGGGGTTGGGTTTTTTTGGTTTCTTTTTAAAATAACTTTCAAAAGAATAAAATTTGGATTTTTCAAATCCGTTGATAATTTGGGATCTCCTCATTCCTACATGTAAATACCTAGTTTCCCCCTGAGCCATCAAAGTTCATACAAAAGCCATCCAAAATGACTCTGCCCCCTCACCAAAGCTGTGTATCAATCAGGCAGACATCGCAGCACTCTCATGGAAAGATGTTTCTATTAAACACGGGAGGTGGGGGAAGCTTGGCCAAATTCCTCCTGGCTGACAAACCCACCTCTGACTCCTCTTGTCTGCCCGGCATCGGTCACTCCTGCCCGGTTTGGTAGCAATTAAGCGCATCATTAGCGATCCCATCGTATGCCATGGGACAAAATGGTGTGTCTGCTTAGTAGATTAAAGGAAAACATTATCTGAAAAGCCCAGGTAAACAAGACACACATCCCTCAACCTTTCACCCTGGAAGACCAAGGTTCACCTCCCTCTAGAGCACAAATAAACAGGAGCCTGGACTCTCCCGAGTCACTGCTGGAGAGTTTCTATTGAGGGTGAGACCACTGCGGAGCCCCCCAGCTTGGTGGTGGTGGGGATGGGTGGGATGAAGGCTTGGAAGCGGCTGGGAGCAGAGGGGCACAAAGGCACTCCCCAAATCACTACTTTCACCAAAAGCAGCATGTCTTTACCTACAGTAACCGCCTACAATTATTCTTATAAAATTAACCAGGCACCAAAATGCGGGGTCTCTCACAGTTACCGTCGCACAGGTCGCGTTTTTATCAACTTACTCTGCAGGAGTCAAACCCCACACAAACACTGAGATTCCCTGATTTCCATGTGGTTGTAGAAAATAAATGAGATCCAGCGACTCCGCAAACCACCGGTGTTCCTGCCCGTCTTTTACAGAGCAGGAGCAGGAATACTCGGGCCGTTCGGTAAATAGTACCCTGAGAAAACATCCAGATTTCCCAAACATCACCATAAACCTTCATGAAGAGCTTGGAAATGCCTGGTCTATTTAATACCCTAACCACAGGCTAAATGAAGTTGTAAAACTTCAACAACAATGTTACATTTGAAAGAGAACCCAGGATATTTGCCACTTTAAACACGCTATACACAAGATAATCTGAGGTTTGTTAAGTATTAACCCTTGCAGTGCATTTTTTAAATATTTGGATGAAAAAGCGGTGCCATTGTTAAATGTAATAGTTACCACTAATATATATTGATACTTTTATTTATAAAGATCACAGAATTATCTCTGAAGCATAGCTTGTTAGAAGTATGTCATGTGTATAGAGATATCAAATTTTTAACTGGTGGTCAAAAACTTACAGCAACAGAACTGGGTAAGGAATGAGTTTGACATAGTGTTGCTGCCAGGAAATCCCTTTCTGTTGTTGCTGTTGAATCTCCCCCTTCTTCTGGCATCAATAAATTCAGGCACCTGCGATACAAATCAGCAGAAATCTGGAAAATCATTATCACTTTAATGCGGAAACAACAGCCATCACAATAGAACAAATGGGGTATGCAGCCTACACGGGGCTTTAAAAAAAAAAAAGCTTCTATTTGTCAAATTACTAGAGGAAAAGTTGATCTTACTGTTATGGACTTTATCCACTTCCAGGTCATATCCATTAGTTACAGCGGCCTCTTGGAGACTGGAACTAATTTACAACACTCTGGACGGGACTGACGGCTTCTGCGATGGATTTCAAGTCAAACGTTGGGGCTTCGTACTCGTACCTGAAGCTGAAAAACCCCCAGCAGCAGAAATAGAGCTTAATTGTTCCAGTATTAACCCGCTCTGCAGCAAGAGAAACAAAGTCCTGGCTGCAATAAGAACAAAGGGAAATATCTTGTCTAGATATTCCAGGATTATGTTAAACTAGTCTTCGAAAAAAAGAAAGAATTCTTTAAAAATTAAATTAAAAAAAAATAATCTGTGTGTCTTTAAAGGAAGTTTTAAAATGTTTTACTATCCCTGACTGCTCACTTTGACAGAAATTGATTTTAAGAAATGATTATGAATCAAGATAGTAGGGAAATTAAATTAAGCTGATTATTATCTTATATGTCTATTAATATATGAACTATATAATATCTATACATCACGATACACATATTACTTGGTATGTAACATTTGTTGCTTTAGACTTTTGGAAAAAAAGATGCACAGGAAACCATCTTGTAGACTAGAAATCCATGATACTTTGGTACTTTTATCCTCTAAAATCACCCCTGTCTAGATAAGAGCTCAGAGATGGTCTGGTCCTGTCTGTTCCTTGGAAAGCTTTCCAAAGAGCTGGAAAAGAGCTGGGATCCTACAGCCCATTGATTTTCTGTCTTGAACTGCGTATCACAGCTGATTCAGCATGACTTTCTTAATAAAGAGTAGTAAAAGGTCAAGCAAAAGCCTGTAAGGCTCACTCACCGCATCTTCTTCCAAGTTAAAAAGGCTCAATTGGCACTTGGAATTAGTTACAGATTGTTCACATCAGTCTTTTTCCCTTTATTTGAATGGTAATGAAGAGAGCTGCTTCCGATACAAGCGAGGCCATTGACCCTTCCTTGGGATTTCATTGAAAAAATATCCTTTGACAAAAAAGAAAGCACTGAGCAGTATACACTGCCCTTAGTTCAAACCAGGCCTTTGCAATAGGGGGATGCTAATGCTAAAGCCAAAAAATGCAATATACTGAACAGGCAGAGCATGCTGAAACCAAAGTAAATACTTCATCAAATCAAATCTCAACAGGGACAAAGCTTCTTATAAGAAAAGGACATTTTTCTATTCAAATACATTTTCCATCAGCACACCCTGTGCGATTCCTTCCGTGTAAAACAGAAGAATTATCATGTAACAAAAAAAAATAAAACTATAGAGCAGCTAAAGGCACCCAAGAGGATTTAACTAAAAAGTAAACAATTTCAAACAAGTTATAAGCACAAAGTTATTCACCATCACGGTCTTAACAGTAGGTCTCAAAGTCCCAAATTAATGCCTAAGGGCAGCAAAGAAACGTTTTGAAGTGCATTTAGTGAAGGTGGTTAAATGTTAGCACAAATTAGCTGATGTGCACCACACTTCCATGTTGTATTTTGTGCATCAGAGCAGCTTTTAGGAAGGATCAAGCCCTGATACAGGCACTTGCTACCGAGCTTTGATACAGCCCAGAAAGAGGTTCTACAGGAGACAGTTCCTTAAACCCACTAGTGATGACTCTGAATTCAATAAAAATAATAATTCGTGTAGGATCTATGCAAAAACAAAGCTTGAGGCTCCCTCTGCTGGTTCCCAAAAAAGAGGGGAAAATAAAACCGGGAGGTTTTCAGCACTGGGGAGGTCAAACTCAGACCCACACCATCTCCTGCTGGTTTTCCACATCACCCCTCGCTGTATGTGGTAAGGAGAGAAAACCCTCTCAGATGTTTAACCACGAGAGATACCTTCCATAGCAGACTAAATAATTTTTAAATAAATCATAAAATTTGAAATAGATTTGGAACAAGAGTCCAGGGAGTAATTAAGATTAAATATAACACCATAAAATACAATCTTTCTCAATAGTACCCACTTTCTTTTTGTCTCCATATTGATTTAATTTTCTGATTATCTTCTCACAGGAAAATACTGATGACACCATAACATCTGCTTGTTTATCCACGTCCTGAGCTCCACATAATCTAGAACACATCCGAAATAAGTTGTCTGTACAATTTTATTTACCACTTGCAGTTACATTTACAAATTGTCCCATACAAGTAAAGCGGTTTCCAAAATGAACTCTAACAGAGCTACAAAAATTATTCTCTTCTCTATACAAGTCACCAGCTTCAGAATTTATTTCTGTACACAGTTGCTGATTATATTTAACAAAATGTCACTGTTTTTTGGCTCTGAGGATCTCCACAAAGGCAACTTGATCACTTTATCCTATTGCAATCAAGAAAGTTAAAGTTCTTGTTCCTCCTTTCCTTCCCTCTCCTTTCATCTGAAGCTCTTCGTGGCTTTCAGTCTTGGAATTCAAATGAACAAAGACTAATACACTAGCAATTTTAATAAACAAGGAAAAAAGTGTTGAGTAAAACCATCCTGCAACATCTCAAGCAATGTTTCACTTCAGATGAGTCTGCTTATAAGCACAGATATTGAAATATCTCCTAATAAGGTACACAAAAGCACATACAATTTATTCAACATGAAAGAAACTTCTACAAACACATAACAGCCAGCTTACAAGGAACACAAGCAACGTAGGAGTGAGGAGCCAGAGTCGTTCAGAAAGGAGCAAATGTTTTGAGGAGAGCCTGAATGGAAGAAGGATCCGAAACTCAAATATTGCTCTAAGAGTAACTTTCAGTTTCAAGCATTTCCAAAAGACTTGAGAAAAATATATACATTCAAAATGTAACTGTTAAAAACATTCCAAATGCCAGTTCTCATACCCAAGTGCTTCTAAAAGAAATGGTTTCCCCAGGAGAGGGCAGAAGATCCATACACAGAACTAACCAGTACAAAACCCTGGCCCTGCTGACGTATGCAGCAATTCTCAGAGTGAAGTCAACAGGGCAAAAATTCATCGTTCAAAACATGCAATTCTTCCCCAAGTGGGCTAAACCTGCCTCCCTCTCTTTGCATCATCGTCCCCCAGAGGTAGTGTTAATTATGTCAGTCCAGCCTTTAACGTTTACTCATTAATTCCTTTAAACAAATGATACTGGAACTCCACTCTGGTACTGGAGCGTGCAAGCCTGGGCTAAGATCCAGGCCCTGGAACAGGCTGTGTACAGCCACTCAGGTAGTGAAGCTTGTTTAATATTTATCTTGCAGCAATCGAATCAGTCTCTTCTCCCTCTGTTTTTAAATGTCTCCAAAGCCCCAAGGCTAACAGCAAGGCAGCACGCTCAGAAAAATCAAACCCGCAGGGATCTCAGAACTGCTGTCTCCGCTCTCAGTTTAGGAATGGCCAGGAACAGGCTGAAAGCAGCATCATCTTTATCATTAAAATAATGACAAGCTAGTTGAAGTTGTCTAATATTGAACACTGAAAACCTCAGTGTTACGGTACAGCTCCATCAACAAGTAACTGCAAAATAAACTCAGATGGGGATTTATTACACAACAGTGACTTTCCAATCCTATCTGAGATATGAAGCAACTAAATACCAAAAAGAAAAAATTAAGTTCAGCGAGGCAAAGGCACACACAGGAGCAGTTACCACAGCTGTGGGTAACCTGGTTGCATAGATTTACCATTATGTTTTAGTTACATGGTTCGGGAGCAAGGGGAAAAAAGGTACATCGTATGGTCCCTTTTCTAAGATGTTTTATTATGAATTCGAAAGGATTGTACCAAGACTACAGTTGCGAGTCCATGGTTTTTAAACACCTTCCCATTTGAGGAACACTCAAGGTGTTTAGAAGAAAGCTGCGCTGACAATAAATGTAAACAAGTGAAAAGATCACATTTTAAACATTTCAGTTTAGGCTGCCAGCGTGAGAGAGAATTCCACAACATTTGGAGTTGTTTTGTCTATCTTATTATCCTTATTTTTATAGTAGCCTCAAACACTTCAGTACGTAACATCCTGCTAAACCTTCAAAGTGATTTGAATAACACATTCAAAACAGCTCCGAAATGTTTCCTCATTTTTGCATGTTTTCACTGAAAAAAATCCTGTTCGACTAAGAAAGCAAAGTATTCTATTTTCTTCAATATTTCTCCAACACTGGAAAAGCCACGTGATGTGATCCTGAACACCAACGCAGTAAGAGCTAATTCTAACTCTAATCCTTTACACCTTCCCTCACCCCTACAAGCAAAAAACAAGCCCAAAAAGTCAGAAATAGAATTTTAACATCACTGTTTGTCACAACACATCACAAGCAGCTACAAATTTCTACAACCACTTCTTTATTTCACAACTGCAGCCCGAGTCTGAAGCTGCTGGAAGCAGGCAGTAGCTTCTCTCTTACTGTGTGGAAATATGAAGGGATCACTAAAACAAACCAGCCTCTCCATACAAATGTAATATTACAAATCAGGTTATTTTATCTGCAGAGAGCAATATTAAACCTTACAGTAAATTAGCTGTTCTTAATCCAACCTAACTGGCATAGGCATCCAGCAGCCTGCCCCTTTGACTGAATGGCCTCTTCTACTTGGGTACTACTCACCCGCAGGAAAAGCAGATTTAAGGGAAACCCCCAGGAAGAAAATCCAGGGCTGGGACCCCGACTCAGGGAGGACTGCAAAGATCTGAACCCGAGGAAGGGCACTTCTGTATTTTTCACACACAGAAGAGCACTGAAGCATGGCATGAGATGACAAGTCTTCTCATCTTACGTATAAAAGCAAAGACAGAGTAAGAGGGAATAGAGAAAAGCAAGTTTCAGTTACTTCATACACGGCTTCTCAGCCTGGACCTATGAAAACGAACAGCATGAGCTCTCTGTTTAACAGGAACTGGATGTTATGTTGGTAGAAAGAGAGGTGTGAGTGGCATAATTGGCTGCACCCCAGGATACCGAGAAGAAAGCAGAAGGGAGAAGCTAGAGCACTCGACATCAAACAAGGAACAAGCTGCAACACTTAACAGAACCGACAGTTGAAAAATATATTTTATTCCTCCTCTACTAAAGTGGTGACACCGTACAAGTTCCCAATCACACGAAAACAACTTTTGGTAACTCATTTTTGAGCTAAACCACTAATTTGAGCACCGTTACCCTGCCTTTAAAAGACTAAAAAACTCAGGCTGAAGTCCACTTATTTGTTTTAACAAGCACATTTTCCATGAAGTCCACGCTGTCCACCTTTGCCTGTTCCAGGAGTTTGGCTGCGTAAGAAAGTTATCTACAACAATCATCTGAACTGAATACATCAGTTCTCCAACAATAAACAGTTCTCATAATTTAAAAAAATCACTTCATAATTTAAAATATATATCAATGACACTCTGCTTTTCTTTTAGCTAGCATGTACCAACATTACTAGCCAACCTAGATATCAACTCGATTTTGTGAAAAAAGCTTGCAAAAAATATATCAACTTCAAAATGTACAGAAAAGGACATTAAAGAGCTGATATTTCTTGGGTTACTTAATATATTTTAGAAAGAGTAGCAAGCTAGGAGTGAAGTACCCTATATTACAAATGTTCAAACACTGAAGCCATACTGTATACACCTTTCTAGTGTAGTGAAGGGTTAGTTCCAGAAAGGGTATTTTGAGAGCATGTACAAAGAGCTGCAGCTTTGTTTAACTTAGACTTGATCACGAAGGCGGGCCAGTCTCTGTGACAGCTCATCCTGCAGAATTGTAAAAACACAGAGAAAGCAGCTATCAGTAATAAGAAAATTTAATTTTTGCAAAGTTCTGCAATGGTCACGACATTATCTCATGTGCAAGTCATAACCAGATTTGCTGAAGACCTCAAGAACTGCTGTACCAGGCAAGACCAGAGGTCCAAGACCAGAGGTCCATACAGCTTCAACTGAATCTAGCATTTACCTGTTCTGCTGAGGCAACGCTTGTACCAACAGAACCTGTCTGTCCTTGAGGTAGTTCCATGTTCAGATCAAGACTAAGAGGAGAAAACCAAACAAAAAACAACAGGTCAGGCATTTACACGGCTAAAGGAAGAATAATTGACAAGCAGAGCAACACCGAAATAGCACGAGGCCACCAGCATCTCATGAACGCTGTACTCCAGCTGGTTAGACAACTTCACCAGTAAACTTGATTAATTACCAAGAAGACAAGTCATACATTATAATTAGCAATAGCTAAATGAATTATGCTTAATCAGGACTGAGCAAGATTTCTGTTTAACCAAGGTATATTAGACATGGCAGACGTATGAATGACAAAATTCACTCGCAAAAAAAACCATTTACTAAAAAATTTGTAAAAAGTTATTTATCCTCCAGCCAACAGAATATTTCCAACTTATGCATCACCAAGAAGGCATGTAAAATTCTCTGAACTATTTCAGTATATCCCCAAAGGCTTAAATGTCACGATGATCCATTTTGCAACATCCAGCTTGTGAGAGCAGAAGTACAGGAAGCTTTAATGTGGTAAGAGGGGAAAAAAGGGAAAAGCATGGAGAAACATAGCCAAGGATTGCTAATGCTAAAGCAAAACCAAATAAATAATAAAACACTACCCTGATATGAGAAGTGACATGTGATTTTAGGCTTTTACACAACCATCCCTACGACCTGACATTCACAATAGCTTTGAATGAAAACAGAATGAAATACTGGCAATTAAAGTACTACAAGAATAATGCCCAGAGGTGAAAGGAAAATGGTGATTCTTCTCTGCTTCCAAGAGACAAACACATACGAAACAAGGGTATCTGACCTTCAAGGGTTGTTGCAACCAAGATTTATTCAAGAAATAGTCACTCAAAATTTTACCTACCCTGCTTCATCTGCCATTTCCTGTAGAAGCATATCCACCTGGTTCTAAAGGAAAGAAAACAAAGTTGGCTGTTGCATACTGTAGTTTATGACAAGCTCTTCTGTTAAAGCTTGAGAATAGAAATTATTTTAACAAAACCGATTTAAAGGCAAGTGTCCTTCACAGAACATTTTCGTTCTGTGACACCAGAGGGCCCTGTATGAACTCAAAAATAATGAGTCGAGGCGCTCAGCCTGTTAAACACCCATTAATTAACTCTAGCTTCTGAAACAATGCTTCTACTGTAAAACCACCCAAATGTACATTTGAATACTTAAGTGATAATTATTAGCTACAAAAACACTGCTTTGCACAACATGGAACAAAGCCCATCTCCAATAGATTTGGTTTATTGGATTTAGGTTTGTTTATTTTATTTAGAAAGCAAAACTTCTGTTGGAATAGCACATTAGCTCCTTATGGAATAGTCCAAGGGGACAGGTACTAGGAATTCTTAACCAAAGTCAAGCACTGTTTAAGGATCTATTTTAGTAAACACATTTCCACAAACTTGAAGTAAGTAATTAACAACCTTTCTACCACACATACTACTACTAATTTGGTGGTGATTAATGTAATTTTGTTACTATCAGTGAGTTAGAACTATTGATTTTCTCACAGTATATTCTGCTCTGAAAATTAATGCTGCAGTGCCTTTTGGTTCAGAAGTTCATTAAGAACTCATCAAAACACTGCTTATTCAGAAGGAGGGTTAAGGTTTTCAAGATACAATTTAAAACAAAGCCTGCTGTAAGAGCAAAACAGACTAAAATACGTATGTGTTCCTCTGTATTTGTGACTATCATTTGAAATAGTCTCATCATAAAGAAGCACAGAACAAAAGTGAAAAGGCTCCAGTTGCTGCTATGTCCCGAAGCAGGCAGAAAGAAGAGAATCGGACACTTCAACAGTTTAGACACATAATTTAAGACCACATTTTAAAAAAACCAAAACAAAACAGCACTATTCTTACTTGTGGCGTCGTTAGCGTAGTAGTGTTGCTCATTGTGTCTTCCATCTGTTGTGTCTGAACATCCAGTGTTTCAAACTGATGCTCAAATTTATCCATTAGTGCAGATATCTATTAAAAATATGAATCAAATCAACGATCCGCAGATAACAAAGGAGAAACCTATCTCATCAATGAAGGTGGCAAGCAGCTTCTGGAGATCAGAAGCTTGACCCTCTCCCCTCCCAGCATCAACTCTGAAGTTGGTCAGGGCTCTGTCCAGTCAAGTTCCAGCATCTGCATTTATGGGGACTTCACAAACAGGCTGGACAACCTGTGCCAGAATCTACCAACCTCACTGCAAAACCTTTTCTCTTGACTGGAATTGCCCTTCTTAAAACTTGTGTCCATTGCCCTTTCTGCTTTTCAGTCTATTTACCTTCTCCAAGTTCATGCTCTTCAGCGTGGCATCCATAGACTTAACTACCCCTGCCATCGACTTCGTTACCTGAAATGAGGTAAAGGAAATTATTACTGAGAAAGAAAAATGAGCAGTTTCTTACCAAGCTCTCTAATCTCCAGCCACAGAGTTTCCACATTATCAAATAGCAGGGCACGCATTATAGCCATCTAGAACATGACTTTTTATGGCTCCTACCACTTCAAATTCTGTAAATTAACTGAACCACTTAAAATATGCATTGAGTGAAATTCATTAAAAATTGAGATGGATATGGCATTAACTTTTGTGGGTTTCAAGATCCACATAGTTAAGGGGTACATTCTGTACACAGATCATATGGCATAACAAATTCTGGCTGAAAAGCAGTACAGTAGTGTACCTTAAAAAACTACCCGAGTTAAAAAAGACTTTTGGAATCACAAGTCGTGTCTCATGACTTTATGTATTTGGAAAGGGGAGAACTATCTTTGCAAAATAATCTTAACAGCGTAACCTGTAAAACACACTGTATCTTTAGGAGTAATAACAGCCAATGGAAGTTTCAAGCTACAAAACAGAGTAAAGAGCAGCTGCCAGGGGAATTCCAGCACCCCATTTACTATTGGCTACGGCTGAAACCAAAACAGAAACGGTTCAGCTCATTACAAACAGAATCAAGTCACTTCTAAGAAAAATAGAGGTCTCACCCTTGCAACAGATTTGTGAAAACCAATTTACCTTGCCCATTGTCACTGCAGTCTGAACTCTGGCTGCTACAGCATCTACCCTGGCGCTCATGCGCAAGAAATTGATGGCTTGATTCTTCTGTCGGATTGCATTTTCCGCATGTATTCGCGCGACTTCCATGTTACCCTTCTGAATTGCCTGTTGGAAACAGAAAAGGAAAAAAAAAAAAAGCAAAAGCATTTTAACCTTCCCTGCTCTGGGAAACATCATTCCTGAATACCCTGTCTCAAAAATGAAATAAGTATCAATTCATCGCAGTATCTTTTCTATTAAAAGAGAAAACATAACCCTCCCTCCTCCTCTAATATTTCTGAAGCTTTTTTTTTTTTTTTTTTACAAGGAAGGTACCTAGTGTACACTTCAAGCAGAAGGATTTACAGAGCTACAGAAACTTACCTTTCTTATTCCTAAAAATGTTTTCAGTATCAAGACCCAAACACAGTTAGTACACCTGCACCTCATGGACAAAAATACAGTCAAATAAATTTCATCTCTCTCTTGAAGTTCCTCTTCATAAACCCTTTTAGCACAAGATGGTAAACATTAAGTATTTTTAACCTTGAGAACAACAGTCTCTAACAAAATACATACAAGACAATCTTCTCAAGAAGCAAATGCCATAGTCTGTGTAAAAGGATATATAAGAACATATCCTCACATTTATTAATGCATAGGCATTAACAGCCATATTTTATTACCATACATTTTAAATCACAAGCATCTATCACAATATTATTAGCATCCATACCCGGAAAATGGTAAAAACACCAGATATTTTCCTGCTATAACATGTAAACAACAGATCTAAAGAGCTTGTTTCAGACTCAATGCTTACCTTCTTAATTTTAGCTTTCTCAGCCTTTTCTTCTTTGTCACATTTTTTTGAGTTCCTGTTGAGTTCCTTTGCAGCAAACTTCAAATTAAACAGGTGTTCTGTAGCACAAGTTAAGGGTTTGACAATAGGATCGAGCCTTTCATCGTAGTATTTTGCTCTCCTGTTCAAAGTACTACCAAACCTAGCATATACTGTGCTGTAAGGAGACCTACCAAGCTGCTTTACAATTATAATGCCATTTATCATCTGGGTACTAAAATCTAAGGGCATAAAAAATAAATTCAGATCCCAAACTGGTGCCTTTTAACATCAAACCTACCTCAGACTGATAAATACAACAAACCAAATATGCCCCAAGAGGAACTGAAAGTCTTACTCTGCCAGATAACTTTCACTTACACACCCAGAGTCCTCGACTCTCAGTGAAATGGAAGTGTCAGGCAGTAAACTGCACCTCTCCAGCTAAAAAAAAAAAAAAGCCACTGAGAAAAAACAGACAAATTACCAGCGTAATCACAGACTGGCTTGGCTGACCATGCCCAGGGACAAAGCAGGAGGCAGGGCTGCCCTTTCAAAACATAGCAGCCTCCCAGCCCTCGGTCATGTGGACAATCCTGGGGTCCCCAACAGCTCTGTCATCTGACTTTTGGGGAAAGAATACTTCAGACAGCAAGAGAAACTTTCTGTTTTAAAAAGTTCAAGCCCTGCTTAAGCTGAAAGCTCTAAGACGACAGTAGAACAAGCCTTCCTAGTGACTTGGAGCGACTGCATTAAACTCTTACTGACAAAAAAAATAATGTGCTGTAAAAATATCAAAAAACCATACTCTGAAAGTACTGTTGATGAAAGTTTCCAAATAATTTCAGCCTCTCAAACAAAATGGAAGTACAATGCTTTACAGGCTTCTTTCATGTCACCTTTTGATATCCCAAGAGGAAGATGCAGCAAGTACTAAGAGGCTTAACTGTTAAGTGGAAGTACATGAAGCCAAACATTATGAGGTACTTGAGATTTCTTTAATAGTTCAAGTATATAAACTAGCCCAGAACTGGTTTTTTTTCCCCCTTCACAGTCCAGCCATGCATCTTAGAGCTCTGACAGCAATTTGAAGACGTTTAGGAAGTCTGTTGATATATCTGTTATCCTATAACCATCACAAGCAGGCTACAAAAAGGCAACAGCTGTGCCTATATATTTAGGGTATTTATTAAGGTAGCTATCAGTAACACTGAAATTGCTACTTGTATTTATATTTCTTTGGTTTAAAACTTATGTCACTATCTCTTTCGGCAGCAGTAAGTGTATTGCACTAAGCTACAGACTAGCTACTTTAGCAAACAGGGGAATATCTTTAGGTTGTTCATTTAAGTATACTTCAGGTCAGAGACCAGAACAATGAGGCAAAACATGACATCACCTATTTATACCAATTATACTGAAACAGCATTTCAGAGCAGTTTATTTTGCAATAACTTCCTCGGTTACTCACTTGGGGCATTCACCTCTGACATTAAAATAGCTCACCCCACCACCTCCACAGCTCTTCCATCCCATGACGAGCACAGACTCGCTCCTCCCTTGAAGAGTCTTTGTCTTTCACAATGTGCCATAACCCGAGTGAAACCCAGCACTAACCATGACTCACAGTCACCTGCTCCAGCGCTCCCATCGCTCCCTACCATAACAACTGCTCCACCTCTGTAATCACTAAGGCTGGTTGTTTTTTTTTTTTTTTGTCTCTACACGTTAAAATAGTTCTATACAGGAAGAAAGTTTTAATTTGCCCACAAGGATTATTTTTTTCCCTGTGCCTAACTTCCTTTCGACAGCAGGAAACAGCTGGGTTTGTTCAGCTGACAGGAGTGGCTGTTTGGGGGGACAGCTGCCGAGTTAGGGGCTGACATACTGGATGTATTATCATCACACATATGACCTGTCAGATGTCCCTGCTGCACAATTTGCACAACTCTACACCACAAATCGCATTTGCCGTCCCCCTGCAGCCCCGAGAGAGGTGACACTGCCTTCCCCCTCGGCTAAGGCTGGCTGGTGTCGCCTTGGAAAGAGAAACTGAACTTCCCGTTCCCTCCTCCATCCACGCAGGGAGGCCGATCTCCAAGCTGAGAAAGCACAGCTCCTGCCAGTGTGACACAAACACCGCAAACCCTGCTCCTCCTCCGGGAAAGGGCCCTCTGAAGGGAGGCCCACGTCCCCCACCGGGCCTCCCCGCTCCCCCAGCGACCACCGACGGCCGCCATGACGAAAGGGACTCGCTTCCTCCTTCCCACCGCCTCCCGGGGGCACGGAGAGACTTCACCCTCCCCAGAGCAGGCGCCGGCCCCAGAAACACCGACTCTCAGCCCGGCCCGCACCGAGCCCAGGCCGGGCCCCGCGCCTCCGCGGCCTCCCCCCAGCCCAGCCCAGGCCGCGGCCCCCACCCCGCGAGGGCCGGCAGCCGCCGAAGCCCCCGAACCCCGAGGATACTCTCCATGTTGGACATGGCGGCGGGCGGCTCGGCAGCGCTCCGGCCGGCCCGGCGGAGAGAGCGGAGCGGGTGGTACGCGGGGCTCCGCCGGTGCTCGGCCCCTGCCTCAGCGCTGTGGCGGCTCCGGCTTCCGGTGACCCCGCCCCGCCGCGCGCAGCCGCACCGGGGCGGGGCGGGAGCGCGCGGCCGCCCGTCCCCTCATGGCGGCTGGGCCGCCTCAGGCAGCGGGGTGGTTCCCCCGGCTCCTTGCCCTCCTTTAGCCGGCTCTGTCAGCGCTCTCGCCGCCATCGCTGGCACCGGGGAAGGACCGGGCGGTGCAGGCTGCGGCCGGGACGGGCGGGCCGCTTGCCGGGCGCGGGAGGCCCGGGCTCGGCCGCCTGAGGGGTGGGTTGGGGTGAAGGCCCCTCTGAGAGGCAGCAGGCCGAGAGCCTCTCTGAGAAACAGAGACCTTAATCTTCTTCAGAACACCAGGGGTGGCCTACATAAAGCCTTTAGTACCAGCATTTGATACAAAACTGTATTTTTATCCTATTTAGTAAAAAGCTACCAAAAATTCCACAGTTTACTGCCCGTATCTCAGTATAGAATCATAGAATCATCTAGGTTGGAAGAAACCCTTGGGATCATCGAGTCCAACCATCTACCCTACTCTACAAAGTCCTCCCCTACACCATGTCCCTCAGCACTGCATCTAAACGGCCCTTAAACACAGCCAGGGATGTGGACTCCACCACCTCCCTGGGCAGCCTGTTCCAATGCCCTATGACTCTTTCGGTGAAAAATTCTTTTCTAATGTTCAATCTAAACCTCCCCTGTTGGAGCTTGAAGCCATTCCCTCTCGTTCTGTCACTAATTGCCTGCGAGAAGAGACCAGCACCAGTATATATCTGTACCTCAGTAGAAGATGCCCCACAAGGCGTGCAACATCTTGGGTCACTTGGGACACACAGATCAAATATAAGTTGTGTTCACAGTTGAATTGCTGGAGATGACATTTTATAAGTTCGTAACAGTCTGCTTTAATAAGTGGTAATTCCTCCAGCAAGTTAAATTACTTTCTTGAGTCACCTTGCTGAGTCACGCTGGTATCTTGAGATGCAGGTGTTTTCCTGATGGTGTATCTTTCAGACAGAAATTGTTAACAGAAGTGCCGCGATGTCTAGTTACTAAAAGATGGAGAGTCTGAACCAATAATTTTGAACTGAGGAGTCCTCTCTCACTCGTTTATTGTGTTTTATGTTAACAACAGTGTAACTTTACAGAGACCTCTTCTAAGACAGACCCTCACCCAAACTCCCATTCTCCAAAACAGAAAGAACAAAAACAGCAGCAGCGTTCATCGTATCTAATAAACTGTTCAACGCCTGGAAAAGAGTGGAAAAAAATAAGATTTTCTGCCTTTGAATTTAGTGTGAGATAGAACATAATTACGAGAGCAGAACTTCCACAAATAGAGTTCACAAGCGTATTGTTAGCTGAAGGGCTTCAAATCGCTTTAAGAGAATGCGTTTTTGGTTGCCTCCTGCTTTTATGAAATAGCTATTTTTAACCGGAGGAAGTAACATGAATACTTTTAGTAAAAAGTTATACATTCCAGTTGGATCCAAAATACAGATTATATGTTTTAAGATTATTTTTTTTTTACATTGCCTTTTTTTTTTCTTTAGATAAATAGGGCTAGAGTCCCACCTGCTGGCATTCCAAACAGTGTGGTGGCCATTTACAGCAACCGAGGAGTTGGACTCTAATCTTTTATGATAATAAAAGACCTCTTGAGTCACTCATTTATTAACTTTCAGCTAACCATAAAGTAAGTCTCCATGTCTGTCACCGTCCCAGAAGAGCACTGGGGTAGTCAATAATCCTCCCGGCATCATTCCCAGAAGCGCACTTGCCATCGCTACTGTTTGACTCTCATCTCATCTGGCAGCAGCAAATGGGGAAAAAAATCAGCTCTCTGGTGATTGAAAGTGATACAGTCTTGACATCCCACATCTGAGAAGTGTCACGAGCTTAATTTCTGATAACACTCGACTTGATTAAAAGCTGACAGCTACTCAGTCTGGAAGCTGAAAGTCTTGTTATTCCCACTGAACATCTTCTACTCCCTGAGCTCAAACCCTAACTTTTTCTCGGTCAGATTTTGCTTGCTACAATAACCAGTGTAATATTTACCAATATAACATTATTGGTAAATATAACAATGTTTCTCTGATTTAAATGCACGTATTTTAGAGGAATATAACTTGCAGTTAGACTCAGGCCAAGACAGTGTTCTCATCAAGACCTCATCTTCCATGGAAGATTTTAGGCTTCATTCATCGTTTAATTTAGATGAAATAAACTATCAGAGTAGGGCCTTTTTTTTTCTTTAAGAAATCTTTCCAGCTAACATAACTAGATTAATCCTGCTAAAACCTGAAGAACATTGTTGCTGGTTTATTGACTGATTCACTTTGAGTGCCATTAGCCTTCAGAATAGGGAAGTGACTGCATTTTTCAAATGGAATATATAAAACACTTTATAGTGTACAAATAGTCTTTGCTAATGCGAAGTCATCTCTTTGTTACACAAATTGATATTAAGATTCTGATTTTTCTTCCAAACTGAGTGGAGTCTTTTAAATGTCTTAGGGCTGGTAATTGGAAGCTGTTAGAAGCAGTGAAAATTGGGCAATGCTAAGAAGGTTGATCTTCACTACTTCTGTCAGAGGAGGCTTTCTTCAGATACCAGAATGATTAGGAAAAAATGTTGATTTATTACTTTGTAGCTGCCTAAGCTTTCAAACATGAAATCACATCACATCTTTTCGTCATGAAAATGAACTTATCTCTCAGTCCCAAACACGGGTATCTGTATTCTTCATAAACAGGGTGTTCAGAAAAGGTATCGGAACAGGAAATTTAATCCTGCTTTAGGATAATTCAAGTCTGCATTTATTTGTTAGGATCAATCTGTGTGCCTTTTAGATTCTTGCTGTTGGGAATGGGATGTCTCTTCTATGCCTATGAGTGTTATTTAGCTATTGCTTTTAATGGGAAGGCAGCAGGGATAAATCGCTTCCTTCATCGGGATCCTTCTGAAAACACGGTATAAAACCATTTGTAAATGAAAAGCTGTCATTCCTGGGGTTGAGGCCAGAACATGAAGTTTGAGATTGGGTCAAGGAGTCCAGAGGACTTCCCTGATTTATCTTCTCACGTGAATGTGGGAGCTTCTGGATGGGCAGCATCGGGGCGATGGCCTTGCTGGCTGGTCAGCACAGCAGCACTTGGGAAGGCAGCTCACCTCTGAATTTTTAATACTGTGTTCTGCCGAAGCATCTCAGGCAAAACCCTGCCAATAAAGTGATGTATCTGAACTGACAGCTTCCTCATTTACCCCCACTGTGCCACATTGGTATATGCAGAGCCTGGAGATACCGTAATGATGTAGGAGTACTTATAGCAAATGAACTGTAATAAGTGTGGCAGAAGACACTTCTGAGCAAAGCTAGTAGAAGTAATTATTCTATCTCGTGTCTCGGGAGTCTGAATTCATAATGATGAAGATTGCTGAATCCTGGCTGTAAAAGCTTTGAAATACCTACCGGTGACAGCCACGTAGCGACCGGCAGCTGCATTGCTCTGTGGTTTTAGCGGGAGAGGTCTGTGTAAAGTACCTTTTCAGGAGATGGGAAAAGATGCAATTATGGTGTATGATTTTCTGGGTCTGATCCACGTCGGTAGGTAATTCTCAATATCACTAGTATTATTGTCTGTGGTTTTAAAACCAAGTCTGTGGAGAGGTGTAGCAGCGCTTTAACATATTTAATAGAGAACTACCCATGAGCAGACTGCTCCTGCACAGTCCTACTGAAATCAACCTCCTAGAAGCTTGTGCAATAATTCTCATGAGTAATAGTTACTTAAATGTATACGGCTTTCCAGGGTCAGAAACAGATACTAGATCACTGATTATCCCCATTTATTTTTCTATGATATTACTGGAACCCATTAATTAGGACATGATTTGGAGGTGGCAGCAACATTAGATGGGAACTATTAGCGTGATCATCTGCTTTGAAGAAAAATGATTCATTTCAGTGATGTCAAAGAGAAGTAAAACTGACCTAATTATCCACAACAATGTTAGAGAACAAAGCAGCAAAAACTGCTCAGAAATAGGAGCGTGTCATGTTTTACCTCAATCAAACCCGCAAAAGCTTAAATCCTGTTCAGGCAGCTGACAGAGGAGGGAGCCACCTGGGCTACAGCCTCCTCGGTGCTGCTCAGGACATGAACTGGCAGAGCCAAATTCTGGCTTAAATCCCCCTTCCCTTTTGACCACTGAAGAAATACCCAACTGGTGATGGGCTCCTCTCTGTTTTTCCCATTTTCTCGAGAGCACAAACCTCCTGCAAAGCTGAACATTTACAAACCAACCCATGGCAACTGCTTTCCTTCCTTTTCTCTTACATCCTTCACAGCAGCAGAGATACTTGGATGCTCTTTCATATTCTTTGTCTAACGTCCTGTATAGCCATTAGAAGGAAGAACAAGGGCACCAAGGAGAGGACTTTATGGACACCTCCATGAAATCAGCCTGTTTGCCTCTGGCTTCGGTGCTGACTTCACCTACTGAAGAGCCAGAGTAAATTTAGAAAGAAATAATCACGCTATGAAACCCTCGCAGATCGAAAACTGTGTTAGCACCATGACAGCACCAGCAGAGAGGATGCTCTTTAAAAACTGGGTGAAATTTAACATTGCAAAGTTGAGAAGTGGTCAGTTGAAGACTTTGAAGAACAAGGTTAACCAGGTGTAGCATCCATGAGAAATTGCAAATTATTGTTTCCACTTTCAAAACTAGAGAAAGTAGCCTATTGAGGTTTTTGACTCACACTGTCATTTACTCAACTTTTTTTTTTTAAGAAAACCTACCTTTAAAGGGCTGGAGGATTGTAAAGGAAATATTGCCAATGAAGCTCGCTCATTGCCATGGCAACATTGTGGTTGCGGTTGTGCCACAAGCAAAATAGATTTTATTGCTTTGCAATTACTTGGTCGGCTGATGTCAGTGTACAGCGTGCGAAGTGCTAGGATTTCTGGGGACTCGGTGGGAGATGGATTTCACCCCAAGCACCACGTCCTTTTAA